GGAAGGTGAGTGCGCCCGCCGCCGCCTCCTGGTCCCACACCTGCAGCCTCAGACTCACACCTTCACCGGCACCGGGACCCCATGGTCCCCGAGCACCTGCCAGGAGGCTCCCCCAGTTGTTTATTTTAGTTTTTAAATAAAAAAAAATATATAGAGAGAAACATCAATGATGAGAGAGAATCATGGACCGGCTGCCTCCTGCACGCCCCGCACTGGGGATGGAGCCCGAAACCCGGGTCTATGCCCTGACCGGGAATCGAACCGTGACCTCCTGGGTCATAGGTCGACCCTCAACCCCTGAGCCCCGCCGGCCGGGCTCCCCAGTTCTTTCTGTCCTTCACGTGTCCCCGTGAGACGGACAGCCAGTGGCTGTTGTAAAGTCACCTGGAAAGTGCCTCTCTCGTGGCCTGTGCCACCAACTTGATGCCCAGGTTCATTTTTCCACATTGCTCTAGCTTTCTATGGGTTGCTTTTATTAATTTATTTCCTTTTATACTTTTGCATAATATTTACATGGTTCCAAAGTCCAATTGACAAAACAGGTACAAAGAGGAGTCAAGCTTGTCTGGCTTCCTGCCCCCACATGTGGCCGTTTCTACAAAGTTTGTGTCTTACCTTCCCCGGGGTCTGGTCTCTGTGGGCCACAGTGTAAGCGGTTACACCCACGCACACACGTTCATGCACATGCACGCACACACGTTCATGCACATGCACGCACACACACATGCACTGCACACATGCACATACACACGTTCACTGCACACATACACGCGCGCACACGTGCGCACACATGCACGCACACACACATGCACAGCACACACATCCTAGATGAAACAGTCACACCGCACACCTGGCCGTGCTCACCTTCAGGCCCCCGGAGGCCCCCTGTGGCTGCGCAGGCAGGTCTCTGTCTGGTCTGTGGGACACACTCCCCACTGGGCTGCTTTCTCACCGTTCCCGTAGAGAGCCAGGGGGCTGACCTGCCCGAGGGGTCGGCGGCGAGGCTGCCCGTGGTCGGTGCTTCCGGGATGGG